CGCTTTGTTAGGTGATTTCATCATATGCAAACTTCATAGAGTTAACACATAGAGTTCATAGAGTTAATACAAAGCTAGATGGCCTAACTAAGCTATATGGTATAGCTTATTACTCTTATAAGAAAAACTTGTACAGCATGTACTCAAAACTGTAGGCAACTGTAACACAATGGTATTTGTGTCCAAGCACAGATAATCTTAAAGGACCACTGTCATACATGCACTACCTCCTTGATATGACATCTCTCATTAAATAAAATGCTGCATCATTACACAGGGCATGGGTAGTCTCAATACTAACTTTGTAAATAAAAGGGCATGACTGTGTTGCAATAAAACTTTATATACAGGAATAAAAAAATAAGATGGATTGACAGATATATACCAATATAAAAATAATAAATTGCAGCCCCTACAACTTACAGGAATTAAACTGCTCAATTTTTTCAACTTTTCTGTATATTTGGAAGTTTTAATATTAAATCTTATTAAATGTTGGAGGCAAATTCATTAAGAGTCCACTGAAGGTTTTTGAATAAAAAAATACAAACAAATTTGTATAAATGAGTATCCCTTATCCAAAATGCTTAGGATTAGAAGTGGTTTAGATTTTAGATTTATTTCAAATTTTTTTCCTATTTTGGAATATCTGCATATACACAGTGAGATATTTTGGAAATAGGACCCAAGTCTAAATACAAAATCCATTTATGTTTTATACACACTTTATATACATAGCCTGAAGGTAATTTTATGTAGTATTTTTAATCATTTCATGCATGAAGCAAAGTTTGTGTTGAGTACTTAACATGCTAAGTACTTACTCGTGGCATCATGTGACACTCAAGAAATTTCAGATTTAGGGGCACTCTGAATTTCAGACTAGGGATACTCAATATGTGTTCCACAAATATGATGCATGTCCGCTGAAGGATGATCAGGGGAAGGAAGAAAGTAGTAAGTAGACTAGTATAATATTCCACACCATGGAAAACATCACTACTTGGATTAGGTACCAAACGAGTTCACTAAGAGAAGAAAAGTCAGAGAAATTCAAGAGAAGGAGAAGAGAATTAGAAAGCTTCTTGGTATCAGCAATAAGGAAGGAAATTTCAAGGAGGAAGTCAGTGTTTATAAAACAGAAATTAAGCAACATGAGAACTGAAAAATTATTAGATTATACAACTGTGTAACGTTGATTATGTAAAAGAAGTGTGCTAAGAATATAAACCAGATACAGTATGCTGATAAATTCAGAAGAAACAAGATAAGAGGAATCAGGGTGGCCAAGAGAAGAAGATGATAACTAGAGAGCAACATAAGGTAAACGCCTGCAATGCTTCTTTAAAAATGGAAAATGAAATGACTGCACCTAAAAATTACCATATCTTATCTCATCCAGAACATATACTATTGGGTGAGGCAGTCGGCCAGAGGCCTGGGAGTTCCTGTGCATTCTTGCTGAATGTGCCAGTCTGCAAAGCTTTCCATTTCCTGATACTAAGCTGTTTCTTGTAATGAGTTACATAGGCAACAAAGAAGATCAAGACAACAGCAAGCACGTAACTGCCATCCCAGGGAGAAGTGATCTAGCTCATTTGCTGTTTACTTTTAAAAAATTTTAAGAAGAAAAAAAAAAAGACACAAACCTACTGCATGTGTCCATGTAGACACCCAACATACAGGACTTGACAGCAAGGAAAATCTAAACAAATACTCCGATATTCGTGATGTTTGCTGGGTCATGAGTAATAACGTTATTTGTCTCTGACCTGGGTGTCTCCTGTTTTCTGTCAGTAACCATGAAACATTAACAAACGTACTAGGTTGTAAAAAGAGTACTTATCACATACCAGTCTCTGTATGTTTTACTTAAATAACTTTAATTAACTCTCATAATCCTTATGGAGTAAGTACTAATATGAGGAAACTCAGGCTTTAAAATGCAAAGTAACTAAACCAAGGTAAAACCATGCGCAAACAATACAACCTAGATAAAAGCCTAGATGATTTTAAAAGTGTTTTTTCACCCGTTAATAGTCAAGCCTCCTTCCCAGCTGATTTATCACGGGCAACTCTAATTGGATATAAAAGCAAAGTACCCAGATCTTCACAGAATGAATACCTCAAATTATGTTCCACTGAAAGCTAATAGTTTGGAAATGTTAATATAACCTTAAAATTCTAAAAACAAAGAGCAAAACAAAAAAACTGTAGTCAAAAAGTAGGAAAATCTACATTAAAAACATCCAAACTATTCTTTATTGCAGAATTTCTCATGGCTTTAAAATGCTAATATGTTTCAATATGTTAAGATATGTCATAAATCTTCAAAAACATTTACCATCATTCTGGAATACAGTTTTTTAAGCTACTGCTACATCAAGACTGCCAATTTGACCTGTACACAGAATAGCTTTTAAAGCTTAGTAGTCAGCTCAGTACAGGTATATAGTCCTTTAAAATAGAGAACATCAAAGTTAGAATGTGCTCTAACAGCTACAAGCCAAGTCATCCACTTCAGAGTTTGGCAACATTGCTCATTTCCTACCAAACAAAAAATTCAATTTCCCACAACACAATGAAATTATGTGCCATATCTGGCTTTTTCTGAAATTAGAAGAGTAACAGCCAAGACTTTTGTTAACTATACTTTGTTATCCACTGGTTTGCTTTCAAACTTTGCGCCCTTTTAACAACAGAAAGGAAAAAGAGACCACAGAAAGAACAGTCTCCAGATAAACCTTGTGTATTGGCTAGTGGTCAGTAAGTCATTTTGATGGTCCTGGGCATCGCTGCTAACTTTCCAGTATTCCAGACCTGTATTTTAACTGTTTAAATAAGTAATAAATTAACATCACATGCTACGTCACCCCAAAGGATACCTACCTATCCTCTTACTCAATCATCCCTTAACATTGAACAACTGATTTTTGCTTTACTGTATTAATCATTTCACACTGTCCCTAAAACCTGAACTAAGGGAAGCCACAAAATATTAGTAATTTATATTCAACGTATGAGCCAGACCTACAGATTGATCCCTAGCTTAAAAAGTCTACTAGAAATGTCAATTTAGATGCTTCTCTGGCATATACTTAGATACAGAGTTATTAACCAGGCCATTCTCAATAAACCTTGTACTGGATAGTTGAAATCACTGTGTAATTACATATTTAAACTGCACTAAGATTCTCTAACACTTTGCCTTATGAGGAAAACAATCTGATGTCCTACCTACTTGAAGTGGGTAGTAGCTTCAAAAGGACTAGCAGGTAGTATATTTAGGACTAACTTTTGCCCTCTACTTTCAAGGAATACCTTGACCCATTCAAAGTCTATGTAGGACAGATCTTTGAAAAAAGAATAAAATATGTCCACTTATTTTGAAAGGAGTTGTAGAGAAAGAAAATATTTTAAAAGTGAGAGAGCAAATTTCACCATTTTGGTACCAGAATTTTAAAAAAATAAGTCTTAGCTAGTCATAACTACTGAAAGAAAACAATATAAAAAATTATTTTAAGGCATAGCTACATCAGTTAAAAATACTTTGTTGAATAATGATGTATATGAGTAGATTCAGATAAGCAAAAGTAGCTATTAAGGGAAACAAAAATAGGAAAATTAGAAAAATGAAACAAATCCCAGTGCTATTATTATTCAATATTTATCTATAAAATAAAAATGCCTTAATAAAAATCAAACCACCAAAAGAGTGACAAATTGAAAAAACACTTTCCATACTGACAACTACAACATTTTCTAAAAATTCAGGAGGGGAGGGGTCAGGGTTTCAGAGGGTTCAGAATGTGGATCATGTAAAGGTTTCACAAGACGTAAATTAGTTGAAAATGGAAGCATCACAAGCTTTTATATTAGAAAAATGCAAAATTCCCATACACTGGGATCTCATCTCACAGTGTTCTTCGTATTTGTCAGAATGTACTTATTAAGAGAAATTCTTAGTTCTAAGTATTACATCTCCAAATAGATTTGAAAGGCGAAATCTAGGATTAACATTATCTAAATGTGTAAAATTTTACAAACTATATACTGTACCACAAGCACTACATCTTAATGCTTTTCTCTTCTTTCTCTCTTGGTAAACAGGACTAACTAACTGATCATAGCTAAGTTTACAGAATAACACGCTGCAAAGGAATAGTCAACTACTGCTGAGTCCATTTTTAACTAGGGCTTACAATAAGAATCTCCAATGACACCACCAGAGTACACAAAGGAAAAAATATACATTAGAAAAGATGGCACTGAAAATGCAGAGGAACACTTCACTCATTTCTACACAGTTACCAAGGTGTATAGGGTTGAGACCTTATATTTAACGAAAAATAATTGTTCAAACAAGATTAGAGTATTTTCCTAATAAAACTTCATGTTTCTCTTCCCTCCCCCCCCCCAAAAAAAATACGTGGGGGAAACGAATACAGTCGCTTTTAACAATAACATAGAAGAAAAGGACAAAATGACAAGGTTAACTAGAGCAGACAAACAAGATCAGCATTATAGATACTCATTCTCTATACTTCCACAATTCCTAACTCACGTTTTTCCCAAATCCACATCCCACCCCCACGTAGTCCTTACGCCTCCTCCTCCCACCCACTTGCCCATCCAACCCATTTATGACGGCGGTCACCTTCCAGGCAGGTACGTGAACTCAGCCCCATTTCCAGGAGACAATCGGCCAGAATGTCTCAGGAGTGACTGAGTCAGAAAATAAGAAAATGACAAAGTGAGAAATAAAAGCAGATGCAAGTTTTAAGGGGAAGGGTGCTTATTAAAGGGGGTTATAGAAGCTAGGCGACCTGCGGCAGGAGAGAAGGATCTCAAACAAGTCATAAACAGAGGTCCACAGGAGAGGCGAGGGTGAAGACTCAGATCCCAAGAGCACGTCCTCTCCGGGGAGAGGGAAGGGACTCTCGGGGCCACGGCGGAAAGCAGACCCGGGTCCCAGGAGGCACAGGAGGCCGGAAACTCACCACCTGGTAGCGGCCAGTCCCGGGCTGGTGATGATCCATCCTGCCCGGCTGGAGGTCCGGCTTCCGAGCGAGCGAGTCCCCTCGGCACTCAGCTCCCTGGGCCACCCCCGTCGACAACGACGTCGTCGCCGCAGCGCCCCTTCCGCCTCGGGTTCTGCCGCCGCGGTCGCCCGGCGGGGCCGCTTCACTTCCTGTCGCTCCCGCAGCAGCCGCGAAGAGCTCGGCGTCGGCCGCAGCTCGGCGGAGCAGCTCCGGGGCGCCGCGCGCGCTACTGAGCATGCTCGGAGCGGCCGCGCAGACTCGCTGGGCGCCGGTGGTCCGTCCGCGCTGCGGTCGGGAGGTCGCGCCTGGGTGGGAGGAGAGAGGAAAAGTAAGGCAAATCCGGGGGAGTTCTGATGTCAACCTGTCCAGAGAGGGGAGGTGGGAAAAGAAGCGTGGGTGGGGGAGTGAAAATGAGCGTCCTGGATTGGTCTTTTCTTTGTGCTCGGGTTTGGGGCAGACACAAGCGAGCACAATCACACCACTTGGGGACAGATGCTGAGGAGGGAGGAGACGCATTGCTGGGGCACCTGAGGGCAGGTCGCCCATTCACCTTACACTTCCTCTTATTACTCATCCAGCCTGGGACATCTCAAGGAGATTCGAGGACATTCCTAGAACGCTCATTCAAAAATCATTAATGGGGTAAGGGATTTTTTAAAGACTTATTTTCAGAGCAGTTTTAAGTTCAGGGCAAAAAATGAGAGGAAGTTGCATATACCCTCCGCCCCTAGGCACGTATAGCCTTTCCAATTATCGACAACCCCCATTAGTGTGGTACCTTTGTTAAGACTGAACCCACATTGATACATCATTACCATCCAAAGTCCATAGTTCACATGGAAATAATTCACGCTCTTCTTGATGTTGTACTTTTTATGGGTTTGGGCAAATGTGTAATGACATGTATCCACCTGTTTGGTATTATACAGAGTATTTTTACTGTTCTAAACTTCCTGTGGGGTAATTTTTTATTTTAGAGCTCGGGGTCTCAGTATGTTGCCTAAGCCGCAGCATAATTTTTCTTCACAGGCCCATTCATAGTGCAGTACATCCTTGAACTTCTCAGCTCAGGCAATCCACCTGCCTCTCCACCTTGCAAGTAGCTGAACAACAGGTGCCAGCCCTGTGGTAATTTTTTAAATCTTGGTTTCCCTTTTTGGCAGTGAGAAATCTAAGAATTCAACAGACTCTTCAGACATACCTGTCTCAAGGAAAGAGACTTCAAGTGTTCTAGGTTACTGGAAGGATAAAAGAAAATAATCAAATGAGATAGGACTATTTTTACGATAATAAATCAGTAATTCCAAAGGGTTTAAGAGTAAGGAATCACTTTGAGTCATTTTAATGCTCAACGTCTGGTTAACCACACATAACCTACTGTGTGTGTTTCTTGGACAGGGCACAAAGTGTGTCTCTCTAATATGTAGACAAGAGTATGATAGAGTTGTGCAAGGAACTTCTAAACCAAAGACATGCTTTCTGCCCTGAAAACTATAATACCACATGATCAGGTCCAGCTGTCTGATTTAAGATAACTGATGCCTCTTCCATAGGTGATTGTACAGTGGAGTCCCTGAAGGGAAGGAAAAGGAACTAGAACCCTATTCACATTCCCTCATGAATGTTCAGAGTAGAGTCTTGGAATTAAGAGGCCACTGGATGAACCTGATCAGCTGGTTAAAATAGCAAGATGCAATCAGAGGGAAACTCATTCAAAGATCATCACCCAAGCAATTTAAGCCTTCCTGATAGTTCTTCTCAAAACATTCATCAGGCTCTTCCTGTTTTTGCTGTCTTGACATTTCTAGTGACAGAGCCCTACTTTGGCTAACAATAAGAGGTAATGAACTCTCATACCTAAGTTTATTTTTTTTACTTAAGTCTTTAAAAACTTGCCTTGTTATGATCTTAATGTATTTTTGATTCTAAGGCAGTAAGCATATCTCATTCTATTACCTGGAGAAAAAAGAGTTAAAACTACATTCTCTATCTGAAAATGTCTTTCTCTACCTAGTAAAAATTTGCTAGCCATCATTTTCTGAACACTAAATTCTAAAGCATATTTTACAGAATACAAGAAACAATCATTTTTCCCTTTAATAAACAAAAATAAGCATGATAATTAGTTTTATCTTTGTTACCATGTATGGACATTTTCATCAGTTTGTAGCTTACACTTCAGTTTAACTTCAAATGGTGTTCCTTATTTAACTGGTTCTGAGATTCTTGGCTTCTGTTCAGCAATATAATTTTAGAGAGGAAGTCTAAAGTGAGCAATTTGACAATTATCTATTTCCTTTCTCTTTATTCTTGTCCAGTATGTTGGAAAAATCTAAAATAGAGGAAGTGTTTTTATTAGTCAGGTTTCAGTTAGGGACAGAATCAAGAGAAGATACATGCTAAGAGGTTTTTTGCAGGAAATTGGCTTGCACAGTGGTAGAGCTGGCTGGGCAAGTCAGGCATCCAAAGCACCGGCCACTTGAACTCCAGGGCAGGAGCTGAGGCTGCTATCTAGAGGCAGAATTTTTTTCCTCAGGGAAGCCCCAATTCTGCTCTTAATTACTTTTAAGTGATTGAATCAGGCCCACCCAGATTATATGGAGGGTAATCTTCTTTCCTTAAAAGTCAACTCACTTAGGACTGTAATTACATCTATAAAATGCCATTGTGGCAATGCCTAGATTAGTGTTTGATTTAATAATTGAAGCTATAGCCTAACCGAGTTCATACAGAGAACTGACATCATCTTTTTATTTAAATGCTGAAAACTAAAATTGTCTCTACATAATAAAAATAAATAGAGAGAAGAGGAGCGAGAAAGGAGAGAGAACCAGAGAGTTAGCTTAGAAGGTAAAATAAATTTCCTAAATTAAAGTTTTCCTATCATTTTTATTTTACATATATATGTTAGTTATATACAGAGACACCACCAGGCCAGAATTGGGAAAGATGTGAATTCTAGTAAGCTGCATCTCAATCCTGATAATATTTATATTTAGCATTTTCATCCTTCTTTGATAACTGGCAATAAAGGCAAACAAATCAATAGCCATTTTGCCTTGGGGATTTCATATTTGAAACTGAGCTAACTTTTAACCTATTAAAATGATCTTTGCTTTAACTTGTGTGTGGAAGGCTGTTCCTTGACTATCCTAAAGTAGGATTTTATAAGTTATTTCCTTTTTACTCTTAAAACCAAGCACTTTCATCATAGAAGGATAGCGCTGGCACTGAGTATATTGCAATTACAACAGGTTTCCCTTGAGCCAAAAGAAAGAAAAATGATTTCTCCATGTCAAGATTCTTAACATGTTAATGAGCATTTTCTCTCTTTCTTCCATAACAGAAACCAGGCCTTAAACACAGTGTGCTGTTAGTATACTGTTTCACCATTAACAACATGGTTAATTAACTGTGTATCAACCATTATCTATGTATGTATGTATATATGTGTGTGAGAATATATAGAAAGAAGGTGATCGTTAATTAACTATAGAGTCAACCATTACGTATGTATTTGAGTGTGTGTGTGTATATAGAAAGAGTGATAACAATATGGTTAACCATTATATATATGTGTGTGTGTATGTATATATAGCATTAATATATTATAGTTAACCATATGTGTGTATATATATACATATATAAAAATTATATGTGTGTGTGTTTATAAACATATATATATATGAGAGAAAGAATGTGTAAAAATATAGTTAACCACTAGCAACATCAGCCATATAATAAGGTAACCTGATTTCAGTACTGAGGATAAAAGACATTCGATTCTGAAGGAGAAAAGTAAGAAGAAATTCATACCATTTCCTGACCTTAACATTCAAATAGGGAAACTAGTGGCCTGACAGAGCTAGAGTAAGTCGAGATAATGAAAGGGGAAAAAAGAAGTTTCTTTCACATCTGGCAAGTATATCCAAGAATAAATAAAATATTTATATTGCATCTCACTTTACCTGCCCATAATATGTGAAGTTCTCATGAAGTATTTATAAAGTCTGCCAATGAAGAATGATTATTAAGAAATCTGGCATGGCTCAGCACCTGTAGCTCAGCAGCTAGGGTGCCAGCCACATATACCAGAGCTGGCAGGTTGGAACCCAGCTGGGCCTGCCAAACAACAATGACAACTACAACAAACAAATGTAGCCAGATGTTGTGGCGGGAACCTGTATTCCCAGCTACTTGGGAGACTGAGGCAAGAGAATTGCTTGAGCCATAGAGTTAGAGGTTGCTGTGAGCTGTGAGGCCACGACACTCTACCAGGGGCATAGTGAGACTCTGTCTCAAAAGAAAGAAAGAAAGAAATATGGCATGATTTCCTTGATAAAGGTAAAGACATCAATATCAAACCTTCTTTCTCTAGTTACTGACTCTTTTTCTATTACAAGGCATAAATATTACAAGCACATACACACAAATATAGTACATAGAGTACAAAGTCAAACTTAATTTTTTTTGTTTAAATGGGACAGATGATTTGCCTCATAATAGGCCCTAAAATTTCCTTAGAAGTCAGTTGTCTAGAAAAGAGAGAAATACATATTTTCATAGAGCCATAAAACTTTAGCATTTATTTATCATAAAACTTTGAGATCATACATCCCAACACCTTCATTTTCAAGATATGAAAACTAACAGATGGTACATGCAGCCTTAAGGTGGTATCTGTCAAATGACTACCTCTTTACTTTCAGCTTGGTTCAAATGTAGCAACTTTTAAAACAATCCCAAATACTCCCATCGACTTTACTCACCTCCTCCAACCTGAAACAGTCCTCCCAAAAAGTACTAATAAAAATTAAAAAGGTAGAACTCCAACACATCATGAGCTCAACATGTCAAAAATGCTCTTGAAAGAAATATCACAGGCAAATCTATTGTCGCTAAAGAGGGTAAATTCTAAGATAGTCATGAATCCTCTCTAGAGTCGCTGCTTTGGAACAAGTAAAACATTACCTTTTTTGTTGTAGTTGTTAAAATAGGGTCATGCTATGTTGCTTAGGTTGGTCTTAAAATCCTTAGCTCAGGTGATCTTCCTACCACAGCCTTCCGAGTAAGAGATTATCAGGCACATGCCATCATGCCCAAGGAAAACATCAACTTTTTAAAACATAGTGAAATGTTTTCCATAAATAGTCTTTGAAAATACAGTACCTAACATTAAATGCATGCCTTTGAGCTTAGAACAAAAAAACCCTCAACCTCATACATACATTTTCACTTATATAAGGTTGGAATGTAAGAAAATCTAAACATATAAGTGTATGGGATTCTACCTCTTAACCTAACTTCCAGCCCTTGACCACGGGACT